GGAAAAGAACATAATGAATGTTGTTTTTGAGGAAGAATTTATAGCTAATGGTGAACAAGTTTTTGTGTCTATTACCATTCAAGGAATAACTTCTGTAATATAAGATAATGTTCTGAATATTGTTCTTTACAATATTCTATAACAAGACAACAATGAGGTTCTCCCTCAAGTACAAATCGAGCAAATTCAACAACCTTAAGAAGTAGAAGTATCATTAAGGAGATCCACTAGAGAGAGGAGAAATACAATTTCTAATAATTATATTGTATTTCTTCAAGAACATGAGGAAGACATCAGGTTAATAGAGGATGCTCCATTGAACTTCTATCAAGTCATGAAAAGTTCTAACTCTCAAAAGTGAATTGATGCCATGAAAAGATAAGATGAAGTCTATGCATGATAATGATGTTTGGGATCTTGTCGAATTACCTAAAGGTGCAAAACCTATTGGTTGCAAATGGATGTTTAAAACCAAGAGAGATTCAAAGGGTAATAATGTTAACAGATATAAAGTTCGTCTAGTTGCTAAAGGCTACACTTAGAAAGAAGACATTGATTATTAAGAAACCTTCTCTCCAGTATCTTCGAAGGATTCTATTAGAACAATATTGGCACTGGTAGCTCATTTTGATTTAGAGTTACATGAGATGGATGTTAAGACTGCATTTCTAAATGGTTACATTAAAGAAACGGTCTATATGGTGCAACTATAAAACTTTGTGCCAGTTGGCTCAAAGTCTATAGTATGCAAATTAAAGAAATTCATCTATGGCCTTAAACAAGCTTATCGTCAATGATATAACAAGTTCCATCAAGTTATTATCTTGTATGGTTTTGAGGCAAATAAAGTTGATAATTGTGTGTACCACATGTTCAGTGGAAGTAAAATTTTATTCAGGGTATTATATGTCGATGATATACTGCTTGCTAACAGTTGACATGTGACTATTGCATGAGACTAAGAGATTTCTAACGAAGAATTTCAAAATGAAAGAACTTGAGGAAGCTTCTTTTGTGTTAGGTATTCAGATACTAAGAGATCGCTCTCCAAGTATCCTAAGGTTGTCACAAGAAAGCTATAAAGTCCTAGATAGTTTTGGCATGAAGGATAGTAAACCAAGGGACACACCCCTATAGCTAAGGGAGACACGTTTAGCATCGAAAAGTTCCCCAAAAATGACCTTGAAATATATGAGATGCAAAATATACCTTATGCCTCTACAGTAGGAAGTCTAATGTATGCTCAAATTTGCACATGTCGCAACATATCGTTTGTCGTAGGAGTTTTGGGAAGATATTTGAGCAACCCTGGAATGCATCACTGGAAGGCAATCAAATGTATTATGTGTTATTTGAATAAAGAAGTACATGCTCACTTATCGGAGGTCTGAGAATTTAGAGATCATTGGGTACTCTCACTGATTTTACAGGACGCCAAAACAACAGATACTCATAGCTCTTTCTGTTAGAAATTCATAATTTCTAATTAAGGTGGGCATCATATATTCATACAATTATATCGGCTATTTATTTTCTGGGTTATAAAATAAGTGATCTTATTACTGACAACAATTGTGACTTCTAAAATAAACTGAAAATGGATATGGGCTTTATGAGTGGATACCCAAAGTAGTTAACCCATAGGGAATAATGGGAACCCTATTAAGTTAACACATCAGGAAGGTTATGGTCCCCAATACACCAAATCAAACATAGTTTTCATCTCTCCCCATCAGAGAGAAAACGAAGGTCCCAGGAGGAATCATGGATTTGGTTGAGGAAGATCATCATACCAAAACCTCTCTATGAAGGCATACAAAGGAACAGATCTGAGAACATGGATTCAGGTATGACATTGACTTGTATCATTGTTTTACATATTGTGTGAGAATCATGAGATTCAAGATTCCTATATTGGTATTTCACCATTAGTAGAGAATTCTAACACCTTCAACCATGGCTGCAGAGTTCATGGCTTGTTTTGAAACATCAAACCATGGCATATGGTTGCAGAATTTTGTCACTGATTTGCGTGTGATCGATGTCATTGAAAGACCATTGAGAATTTATTGTGACAAAAGTTTTGCGGTTCTTTACTCCAACAATAATGTGAGTTCCACAAAGTCAAAAGTTATTGACATCAAGTTTCTGGTTATTAAAGAAAGTGTTCAAAATAAACAAATTTTCAAGGAACATATAGGGACAAATTTTATGCTAGCTGATCTAATGACTAAGGGTTCGATACCTAAAGTCTTTCATGAGTACATTGGTCATATGAGTGTTGTTCCTTAGGATATCTTAGTTTAGTAAGAGTCTATATGTTTTATAATTTAATATGATTTGATTTGGACGTCATAAATATTTTTATGCATAATAAAGTTAATGGTTTATTGTTTCGTTTTGAACTTGTGTATTTTTGTTTGTAACTATTGCGTTATAATTAAAGATTTTTGATTGGTCTCGCTAAAGAAAAAGAATGAACGGTTGGAAATATATATGTTTGAGATCACATTGCATGAAATTTCCATGTTACTCATTCATATTTGATCTATATCATTAAGTTTATTAATATGGTGCTCATCATAGTCGAGTCACACTTGAATATGGTGAAGGTCGTGGTGGTTCCATAGTTGATATATGAGATGGACCATATTGTATTCAGGAGAAGTATAAATGTAAATAGCATACAGATGTGCACCTAAAGAATATTGATATAATTGTTTCGGAAAAAATATGAAGTCCAAGTGGAAGATTGTTAGAAATTCATAATTTTTAATTAAGGTGAACATCATATATTTAATACAATTATATCAGTTATTTATTTTTTGGTTACAAAATAAGTGATCTAATTTTTGACAATCCATAGGACTCCTAAAATTGATAATGTATATGAGTTTAATGAGTGGATACCCAAACGGTTGACCTATATGAAATAATTAGAACCCTATAAGTAACGCATAAGGAATGATTATGGTTTCTAAGACACCAATTCACAAATAGTTTTCACATCTCCCCATCAGAGCAAACGAAGGTCCCAAAAGGAATTCAGGATTTGATTAATGAAGAACATCATAACAAAAACTCTATCCAAAGACATACAAAATGAATAGATCTGAGAAATATGAATTTATGTATGACTTTGTATCATTATTTTATATTAGGTATGAGAATCATGAGATTCAAAATCCTAAGATTGTTATTTCACCGATCATAAGAGAAATTCTAACAATATCAAGTTAACTTAATTTTTTCTAGCTTTTCTTTTAGGCAAAAGTGTGAAAGTTATAAATATGGTAGGACATGTTCGATTATGGAATTAATGAACCGATCCCACACCAGTATGATATGGCAATTACACCAAATATATAATTAAATCGAGCAATATTGGAAAACACTAGTCAAACCATATCGTACCATAGTAGGAAAAATCGGTTGGTGGATGATTTTTTTCTTCATATTTTTGAAAGAGTATAGTATCTATGCAGTGTTACCGTAAAGATTTATGCACATTCAATACATCATCTACCATTCATTTTTATTATTTTTTTGATGAGTCAATGATGATTAAACATGAATGGTGAATGATACAATGATATTGTATCAAACTCATACACGATGAGTGCATACATTTATTCTCTTTGTGAAAATAACTAACGATTTGAAGCTTGAATTCAATAGTTGTTTGTAACATAGTAAACTATTGAACCATTTCAATAATTGAGTTATATGTTGCAAACAATAATATTTATATTCATAATTTATTATATTTATTATAATATATAATTTAACTAATGTACAGTTCAATTAGCAAGCCTCTATACTAGAGGTGTCAAAATGGCAGCCCGCCAAAGCCCGAAAATTTATAAGGCTTGAATATCATATTAAATACTTTTCATTGAATCCGGGCTTTTTAGCCTAGACCGGTCGGACTATATTAAAATCGGGCTTGAGGTGCTTACCTGGGCGAGCTCGAGCTACCTGTATTTCCATATTTTTTGGGACCTTTAGCTTTGTAATTCGCCTTAGATGAAAATTATTATAAAAAAATAACATAATAAAAAATAGAGAATAAATATTGTGTTTCAATAATTTTATAAAGGTAAACATTATCATATTTTTTCTATTTTACATAATATACTTTTAAGTATAATAACAAAATAATATATCAAATCAAATGAGAAGACATTAATCCATATAAATCACACTTTTTCTTTCTTAATTGTGTATTTAATTAGATTTAACTTATACAACAAAACTAAAAGACAACATAATTATTTACAATGGAGAGTTTTACACAACCAAATTTAACATAATAGTTCACATTGAAAATGTTGATAAAAATCATACAAATGATCTTCAAAGAGAAAAAAGTAAAGCATAATGATCGTATATTACGATGGTGAATATACTTTGACATATATAATTCATTTTGAACTTAAATCTATACTACCATTATTATAAACCAAGATAATATTATTTTTGACAGTGACCAAAGATTTATATAGTAAAATGAAGTTACAAATTATATTGTGGTAGGGAGTGAGAGTTCAATAGAAATGAGAGATTTAATAAATGAGTTATGTTAAAATTCATATACGTGGATTTGATATCGCGTCTTAACTCAAACACAAGACATTAGATCTATAAGTTTGGTTATATTTGGCATAACACGTGTATTAAAAAGTTATATATTAATATCCTATGATATATATATTTAAATAGATTAAATATGTTAAAATTATAATAAATATTTTTAGTATTATATGGGTCGGCCCGCCACAACCCACAATCGAATTAGGGCAGGTTTGGGCTACAATTTGATATGTTCCAGATTAGCCCGAAGCTCATGTGGACTAATCCGAACTCGTCTGAGTAGCCCATTTTGACACATCTACTCTACGAATATTCTAGCCACTCTGATAAACATTACAATATTAATAACATTTGACATCTATAGAATTTCTTCTCACGTGTCTAAAAATATATAGAATGACTAATATGAGAGTAGAAATAAAATTGACACACAAGTTGAGAAAAAAAGACAAGGGTTAGTAAGTTATTTTGCCCCACTTAACTGTGGGAAATAAAAATGAGAAAACCACATATGGTGAAAACTTTATATAAATATAACAATTTTTGCAGCAATAAATTAGAATATACACATAAAGGATGTGAGCTATTGAGATTTGACTTTACAAAACAGTGTTTATATGCAGAGCTTTAAGTAATGAAGTAGCCATTTGTTTCACCAAGACTTGTCCATCTCTTCGCTCCCCTATTAAGTTTTGAAGTTTTTGAGGTAAATCATTCTCCACAATCAGTTTCTTGGGTTGAGGGTGATGCTCATAAACAGCCTGCAAATACAATATGATTAGGATATTGCTGAAACACGATGCAACAAATTTTGTCACAAAAATGTCTTTATGGGACAATACAGAAGTCGAATGTTTTGTCCCCCACTGAACCGAGGGACAAAACTTTGTCCAGTGCACTTAAATTGTCGATGTTATCCCTTCCAACATCAAATGCACCCTTATAGCAATCCATATAAACACCAAACAAGTATGTTCCAGAACAATGGGTATTATGAAGAAAAAATGCTTCTTTAAATCATGATGTTCCTAAAAGGGAAGCTCTCAACTCAGTTGCATCAAATCAAGAAGCATGAGTTTAAGATGTGCATCACTTTATGATAGATGATGAAAAGAGCATCTAGATACATCATATTTAAAAGAGATAAGAAAGAAACTCTGATAACACTGGTATCAAACTTAGAGTAGAAAAGAAGAAGATAGAAAAGAAATGTCCCTAAGCCAAACTTAAAGGTTTCTTGGCAGGGCTCTAATGGATTATTAGTGATGAAGATAGAAGGAATAAAAGAGTGAATTTGTGCACTTGTGTTTCCTAGAGAAAGGTTCATTTTTAACTGCCTATTTCTGCACTTGTGTTCCCTAGAGAAAGGTTCATCACACCTGAAGCATAACCATTTCTCCCTATTTTCCCTCATCTCAGCACTAGAGAGCCTTCTATAAGTGTCAATTCCTCTAGAATTCTCTGCTTTTGGTAAGGATCTGGAACTTCCCACCACACTACCTACTGATGATGTCTCTTTCTTGCTACTGCAAGTAGAATGAGGATTTACAGAAACTACTTTCTGGTAAGAACTCTCCTTGCTAGCTCCAGAACTTCTCACATAACCTTGGGTTGTTCTCTTTTGCACCACTAGGTTCTTTTGTTCAATCAGAATGGTCTTGTGTATGACATCTTGTAGGGTTTCAAGATCATACAGCTTCACTTCTACCCTGAGTTCTTCCTTTAATCCATTCAAGAACACAACTCTTATGAATTCTTGAATGATCTCCTTGAGTGCCCCAGCATACTTTTCAAACTCCTCTACATAGGCCTCTACACTTCCTTCTTGCTTGAGAGACAAAAGTAACTCAAAAGGATTTTGAACCATAGCTGGTTGGAATATTCTAACAACTGCAATCTTGAAGCTTTACCAAGTAGGTGAGGAATTACACCCCTCCCACTCATGGAAAAATATATTTCCAACTTCTGTACCCACCCATAAGCATCATCTCCCATAAAAATGGGTATGTCCAGCTTCCTCCATCTGTCATGGTTTATTGGAACCTGATGGCTTTCTACTTCCTCAAAGTTTTCATTGCTTTCTTCCCCTCTAGAGACTCCTAGCTTCATGGCTATGGCAACAAGTAAATCCTCAGCCTTTTTGGTTTTAGCTTCATTCAACTCCATTCTGATTCGAATTTCTTCCCTTTCTTGCACCCAACTGTCCATGGTTCTTGTCTGGCTTCTTATAGAGACCATAAAAGTGCAAAAGCTTACTAGGTAGTGGATCCCTTTCCCTTGCAGGCACCAAGATGGTACTCTGATACTAGTGATAACACTAGTATCAAACTTAGAGTAGAAAAGAAGAAGATAGAAAAGAAATGTCCTAAGCCAAACCTAAAGGTTTCTTGGCAGGGCTCTAATGGATTATTATTGATGAAGATAGAAAGAATACAAGAGTGAATTTGGTTACAAGGATCCCACGATCCAACTGATTCCACAATCAGTCCCCTTTTACTCTACATTTGCCTACCTTTCTGGTTACAAGTCTTTCCTATTTAATACAACTCAATTCTAACTAACTAACTGCTTAACTGTCATAAACAGTTAAGGAAAATCAGTTACAATTAGTTACCTAACTTCCAGACTTTCCTAACCCCCCTTCTATATACATGTTTAATATTTTGACTAGCCTTGATCCTATCAAACTCCAGAGCTGACACAGTAAGAATAATCAGGATGCTACAAGAGGTATAGTAATGAAGTAAAACCAGGTCTTGTTTCAAAGAAAGAGGATCCATAGCAGGAAGTTCAAAGTTCAGACAAAAACTCACTCAAAGACATGTACAGAGAAAATCAATGATAAAAAAAAACATAACAAGGCATACATTATAAGGGAAATGCTATATGAACAACTATTATATAGAGAAAAAGAGACTACTAATGTGCAGAACCACTAATTACATGCGGATTTTTAAAAGAAAAGTTTTGATTGCATGTCAAGATTTTATATATATGAACTGTTGTCCAAATAGCAATGCCCATAAAAGAATGAGAATGAAATATTATGAGATGATGAAGGGTTATATTTTTAAATGACAGAAAGATAACCCATTCTATCAGCAAAACATCCAAGATCAAATGGTACAAATATTTGGTTTTACATGTTAGGCAACATTTATAAATACTGCACCTACAACCATAACTTCTCATCCTAGTTAAACTCTATTTTATATGCAGCAATCAGGCCAATAATGACTTGAGAAATTTCTCCTAAGTTTAAACTTTAACATGGATTCCAACTATTTCTACGGTTCCACAGGTAAAACCCTGTCTACAAATTCATCTTATACATATTTGTATCTGAGGACTAAATTATAAGCAATGTTATTAAAACCATACCGGTTATCAAACCGGTCAGGGTACTGGTACAGTGGTTCAGTAATTAAACCGCATTCTGGTTAAACCGGACATACTTGCTTATATATATAAACTTATAACAAAAAATTTCAAATAAGTAGATATTCATATTCATAATCTACTCCAAATTCACACAAACAAACAACATTAAATCTTTAATAAAATCAAAGTCTAAAGTGCAAAACATATATTAATCCAAAATTATCACTTAACAAATGCAAAATACAAATAAATGATACAAGTATTAATCATTGAAGTTGAAGAATTTGTGAAGAATTGAAAATTTGAAATTAAAAAAAAAATAATAATGTACAAACCGGCTGGTTTAAACCGGTTCACCGGTTTTGACCGGTTTTCAACCGGTTTTCACCGGTTCTATTGCATATGCGGTATAACATACGTACTGTACCGGTTAGGGGTCCGGTTCACCGGTTTTCCGGTTGAACCGGCCGGTACGGTATGGTTTTTATAACATTGATTATAAGCCACTTCTTGTCTAAGAAGTGCAAAACCAGGTTAATGTCTTAAAGTGCAAAGTAGAGTCAACCAGAAATTCAAGTATGAATAACAAATCATAGATGAATACCTTTATCAGCTTGAGTAAATTAAGACGAGCTATGGCATCTTGATGATTAAGCCTTGCAATGAGTAATGGTGTTAATCCATTAATAGCTAATGCAGTATTGATCCGTGCAGATTTTCTGCAACAAATATGAATTTGATGGTCAAATAAAAACCCCATAAGAAAGAAAGAAAGATAATTGGGTGATTCCAGAACAAATAGGACAACTATTGTGCCCAAATCAAGTATCATGTAACAAATTTGTCAAGAAATTGAGGCAACAGAACTTTGATTTTCTATTGCCTTGAAAATGTCTATCCTTACTTGTAATCTATTCCTTTTCTTTCAAAAGGAAAAAAAAAACTAATCTTATGCCACTAGAAAATGAAACCTGGCTAGGATGAATTCCAAAATTAAGATGTCATTCTAACACCTTCAATTCCATCCTAACTTCTTAAATTTTTATTTTCTTCAGAGAAGAAATTAGGATAATACTGTTAAAACTGTATGCCAGGTAGGGAAGGAGAAAAAGAAATAGAAATAAGCTAATAAATAATATGACATTACTAACCAAATAGTCCAACTTATTTACACTAATACTAGATTCGTAATCCTGATTAAAGAAGGAAGAAAAGGGAATACAATAAGTATAAATAAATCCTAAGATATTAGCTAAAATACTTTAAAGTTTCTAACATACAATAAAGATATTATGATATATTTTTATAGATATTCTAACACACCCATTGTAAATTACTGAGCCTTAACCTTGTTAGAATTAAACACACTTAGAAAAAAACTAAACAATATAATTTGTCATGCACACTAATATGAGCCGCTAAACAAAGAATGATCCTCACAATATTTATTTTTGCTACTAGGGAAATGTCTCCTCATAATCAATCTCATATGTCGTGGTATATCCCTTTGCTACTGGTTGTGCCTTGTATTTGTTCAGCGTGCCATATGATCGGTACTTCACATTATATATCCACCAACTACCTATTGTCCTTTGGCTTCTCAACAATCTCCAAGGTCCCATTTTTCTCTTCATAGCTTGAATTCAATTCTCATCTTTTAAGGCTTCTTGTAATATGTAAGGACTCTAATAGAATTAATAGCTAAAATAAAACTTTGATGATGCACATAAAGATTTTTGTAGACACAAACTGTGATATAGGATAATTGGTACATTATCGTTTTCCTTTTTTCAATGCAATAGGTAGCTCATCAAGGTTAGACTCATAAGAATTAGGCTCGTGAATATGAGCACTTACCTCAGGTGGAGACAATTGAACTTGTCGGATGAGTTTACTTCTCTGTTGGTACTTTTTCCTATATTTGTCCTCATTATTGTGCACTGGTATTTCATTGCTATCATTGTCTATTGGATCATTGTCATTGCTATCTATTGGATCATTGCCATATTTGTCTTTAGTGGTAGTACTGGGGAAAGGCATCAAGAGACTCAACTTCATTACTACTCTCTTGAAGCTAAGGACTGAGATAAAAAGACTTTGTTTCGTGAAATGTAACATCCATTGATATATAGACTCAACGAGTAAGAAGATGATAATACTTATATCCTTTATCTGAAGCATATCCTATGGAGATACATCTAATAGTCCAAGGATCTAACTTACCCCGATGAGGACCTTGAGCATGTACAAAGGAAGAACAACCAAAAATACTACTTTGAACGCTTCTTAAAGTACTAAAGAAAAAAAGCTAGTCATAAACTGTACAAAAATATCACCCGATAAAACTCGAGATGGTAACCTATTGATTAAATAAGTAGTGGTCAAGACAGCTTACCCCAATAAAATTTATGAACATACATTTGAAAGAGTAATGTTTTGGTGATTCCAAGAAGATGACAATTTTTCCTTTCAACAACCCCATATTGTTGTTGGGTGTCAACATATGTTAACTCGTGAACAAGAAAACCATTAGCTTTGAGATGTAAAGAAGATAAATAGAAGGAGAGAAGAGAAAACCATTAGCTTTGAGATGTAGTTTTATTGAATGAATAGGAATACAATGGATAACTTCTATTTATAGAACTAGATATAACTCATGTGGCAGTTACATAATTGTAATTGTCATTCTTCTAGAAGCTTCTATTCTAACGAACTAGAAGGTTATCTTAAAGACCAACAAGACTATTTCAAACACTAATCTTTGATTAATAAAGATAGTTACAACAGTTAGTCTAATATTTCCCCTGAAGCTGAGGATGTGTTGAAAATTTGTCAAACACTTGAAAAAGCTTCCTGATAGAGAAAAATCTGGAGTTAGAGAAAGGCTTGGTAAGAGCATCAATTGTCTAGAACTCAGATAGTATATGCTTGATTTGTAAAAGCTTTGACTGGACTCTATCTCTTACAAAGAATAAATCCAACTCAATATGTTTAATTATGTGATGAAGAACATGATTGTATGTCACTGCCACAGTGCTGAGATTGTCACAAAGAACTAATGGAGATTGATAGGCAAACTGAAGTTTTGAGAGGAGATTTAATCCAGATAATATCTTGAGAAGCTAGGGCTAGGCTTCTATTCTCAGCTTCAATAGACCTAGAAACAATTTGTTGCTTCCTGGACCACCAACAACGTTGGGGCCTACAAAGAGGCAAACACCTGAGATGAATTTTCTGTCCTCAGGGTCTGATGCCCAGTATGCATCACAAAATGCTGTAATGGATAAAGGTGTTGTGGAATTAGCAGGCCTAAGTTGAATACCCAATGTGAGGGAACCTTGCAAGTACCTCAACATTCTTTTAACAACAACCCATAGTTCAGAGGATTGGACATATATTGGCACACCTTGTTGACACTGAAGGCAAGGTCAAATCTTATAATTGATATTGAAGTGCTCAACTATAGACCTTTATAGTGTAAGATTGTCAAAACCAGAAGATCTTGTTTTGGTTAATTTTCAAGAGGTGAACATAGGAGTAGGAGATGGTTTGGCAGAGTCCATGTTGGCTCTCGTGAGAAGATCTTTGGTATAATTAGTCTAAGATATTAATAGGGACCCATTAGACATGTGTTTGACATCAATACCCAACAATTAATCCAAGGAACCTAGTCTCTCTATGGTCTTTAATACATTATTGATATCTAACTGTTCTGGAAGCCATTGGAAAGTCGCTGCTAAGGTTAGAAGAATCCTAATAATGATAGGCTTCACAACTGGGGGAAAAGTTTCAGTGCAATCAATGTCTTACTTTTGATGAAACCCTTTTGCAACTACCCTGACCTTATATCTGTTTTCTGTCCCATTAGGATTTTCTTTAATCCTAAACACCCACTTGCAACCAATAGCTTGTTTACCTGGAGGTAAATCAACAACAAACCATGTACCCAATTGAATTAGAGCATTGTATTCCTCTTGCATAACTTGAAACCAGAGAGGATCACTTAGGGCAGTCTTGACAAATGTGGGCTCACTTTGAGCTAGAAGTGCCGTAGGAACTCTAGGAATGAAGGATTTATCAATACCGGACATGGAACGAGTCTACATTGGATGAGTGGACAAAGGAACACTAGTAGATGGTGGGACTGAAGAAGACTTTATAGTAATGGACCATGATAGTGGTAAAGGAGGCATGTTTGAGGATGAAGGAGAAACCTCTTGAGAACTAGACAGGGAATGACACTCAGGAACATGACCGGGTGAAGCATAAGGAATAGAGGGAGAGTGTGAGGATGTAGGTATAACAATATCAATAATAGTTGAAGTATTTTGAGGAAAAAAGTAAGTTTAAGTAGTGGGATGAGACACATGAGTAGAAGAGGACTCAAAATTGGATAGGAGAGGAGTTGTTGAGGCAAAGGGAAAGATATGTTCTTTGAACTTCACATCCTTATAAAAGTAGACCCTACCATCCTTTGATATGCACTTATACCCTTTGTGATGAGTTAAGTAGCCAAGAAAAGTACCTTCAGAGGACCTGAATTCTAACTTGTGACTAGCGTAAGGTTTAAAAAGTGGAAAGCAAGCACACGCAAACACTTTAAGAAATGAATAGTCAGATTGAACACCAAACAAAAGAAAATAAAGAGAGGACTGATTGAAGGTGAGGGATGGTAATCTGTTGATAAGGAACACTGCAGTAGTGAAAGCATATTCCCAATATGACAAGGATAGAGAGGCAAGAGAAAGTAAAGTTAGACCAGTCTCCACAATATGCATATGCTTTCTCTCAACAGTTCCATGTTGATGATGAGTGTGAGGTTAAGAGACTTTGTGACCTACCCCTAATGAATTAAGAAACTTAGTGAATGATCTTAACTCACCTCCCCAATCACTTTGAATAGGTTTGATATCTAGTTGAAACTAAGTATGAACCAATTTTACAAAATGTTGAAACAGGTGGAGTGCCTGACTTTTTCTTTAGTAGATAAATCCAAGTATGTTTGGTGTGAGCATCAACTATGGATAGATAATATCTAAACTCCGATTCTAAATGGATAGAAGTAGGACCCCATAGATCTAAGTAGAAGAGTTCAAATGGTTTAATATATATGGAAGCAAATGCAGGAGAATGCAACCTATGAGCCTTAGCACATCGAACTATTTATAGCATCTTTTTTCTATAAGCCTGTTTATTCGGCTTTACAAAATTTGAAGTTAATTTAGTTGGGAAAAATTGTTCTTAAAAAAAGGGTTGCAAATAAAATACGAAATGTCATATAGCAGTACAAAAATCAAGACTAGGTTTATTAGAATATGAAATATTACATTGTTGAAGAACACTTTTATAGTAGTCTCATGAGTATGGCCTAGTCTATAGTGACAAAGTAAGTAGGAAGACAACGTTTTGGAACTAGAGGAAACACATTTATTAGCCTACAAAGGCAATGCATAACTGAAATTGCAATGTAAAGAAGTAGGTGAAAAAAGGTTGTGGAAAGCATAGAGCCCCTCTGCAGTGAGAGAAACCTGAAGAAGCGCTTGCTTAGTAGCTTGGGATTTGACAATAAAATGATTAGGATCAAACTAAAAAAAAGTAATGATTATCCTTAGCAAACTGAGACACACAAATGAGATTTTTTTTGTAATGGTAGACACTTTAGAATTCAAAGGAGACTGAAAATAAGCATGTCCACAACTTTTAATACCAGCTTTGTTACCATTACCCATGTAAATGTTATCTAAGGCAAATTGTTCAATTGGATCAACTAGAAATGATGGATCAACATTGAGATGGTTTGTTGCACCTGAGTCAGGATACCACAAAGATGGCCTATTGAAGTCTTGATCAGTGTGAGTGACATTCATAGCATAAGGAGACATATGAGCATAGGATGAGTACGGTCTAGTAAATATTCTAGGATTGACCATGGAAGGAGTAGAAGAATGCTGATTGTAAGAAGGTCAGGAGTGATTGTGGGAATGAAATGATGTCCTTGGCCTTGTGTGGTGAAAAGGCAAGGCTTAACTAGAGGTAGGAGGAGCTATGGAGTGCAAGTGAGAGGCATAAGGACCTGAATGTTGATAAGCAGCACCATAGGTATGGCCATATAGATGAGGCATAGTGTGAGAGCATATGATGAATAATAGCACCAAGCCACATCATGACCATATTTTCTGCAGTAGTCACATAAGTAAGAGGAAGTTCTGCCTGATGACCTTCCACCAGGACCACCATGCATACTAAAACGTCCTCCACCACGAGATCCATCATGAGGCTCTCCAAAATGACCATGTAAATGAGTTGTAAAAACTATCCACCATTGTT